GTCCACATTTGAACATCGATGACAAGTACACAGATTTGGTTAACACACATCACTGGAACTCAGATACATGTAAGGAGGCCTCAGTGAGAATTGAACTCATGACCCCTGGTTTACGAGACCAGTGCTCTAACCACTGAGCTAGGAGGCCTTGCAGACTCATCGGCCGATTGCAATTTTGTTAACCTGCTCCCAAAATCACAGCCTCAAAACAGTCTGCTCTCACCAGATTTTTCTGGGAAAAGCCAAATCCATTGCTTGACTTGCAGTAGAAAGTTAAAGAGAAAGTGATGTTCTTCACGATTGAAGGATACTGACAAGTACACAGACTTACTTCACACAGATGACAGAAACTCAGTTATGTACATGTAATGCGGCCTCAGTGAGAATTGAACTCACAACCCCTGGTTTACAAGACCTGTGCTGTAATCACTGAGATATGAGGCCTGATAGGCTCATTGGCCATTAGCATTTTTTAACGTGCTACAAAAATTACAGCCTCAAAATAGTCAGGTCCTGAGCAGATTGTTTTTTCCGGGAAAAGACAAATCCGTTGCTTGTCTTGTAGTAGAAAGTTATGTTCGCATTTGAAGGATACTGACAAGTACACAGATTTCCTTGACACAGATGACAGGAACTCACTTACATGTGATGAGGCCTCAGTGAGAGTTGAACTCACTACCCCGAGTTTACAAGACTAGTGCTCTAATCACTGAGCTATGAGGCCTTGGACGCTAGCTGGACGTTACCATTTTTGTTAATGTGCTACCAAAATCAGAGCCTCAAAATGGTCTGGTCCTCAGCGGATTTGTCCGGGAAAAGCCAAGTCCATTGCAGTCGAAAAATAAAGAAAAGTGATGTTTTTTACATTTGAAGGATACTGACAAGTACACAGACAACAGGAACTCACTTCGATGTGATGAGGCCTCAGTGAGAATTGAACTCACGACCACTGGTTTACTAGACCAGTGCTCGAACCACTGAGCTATGAGGCCTTGGACGCTCGCTCGACGTTACCATTTTTGTTAATGTGCTACCAAAATCAGAGCCTCAAAATAGTCGGGTCTCAGCAGATTTTTCTGGGAAAAGCCAAGTCCGTTGCTTGACTTGCAGAAGAAAAGAGAGTGACGTTCTCCACGCTTGAAGGATACTGACAAGTACACAGACTTGCTTGACACAGATGACAGAAACTCAGTTACACGTGATGAGGCCTCAGTGAGAATTGAACTCACAACCCCTGTTTTACAAGACCAGTGCTCTAATCACTGAGATATGAGACCTGACAAGCTCATCGGCCGTTAGCATTTTTGTTCACGTGCTACCAAAATCACAGCCTCAAAACAGGTCCTCTGCAGATTTGTCCGGGAAAAGCCAAGTCCGTTGCTTGACTTGCAGTAGAAAAGAGAGTGATGTTCTCCACATTTGAAGGATACTGACAATTCCACAGACTTGTTGGACACACATGACAGTAACTCAGTTATATGCGATGGGGCCTTAGTGAGAATTGAACTCACGGCCACTGGTTTAGAAGACTAGTGCTTTAACCACTGAGCTTTGAGGCCTTGCAGGTTAAGTGGCCGTGAACATATTTGGTAACGTGCTCCCAAAATCAGAGCCTCAAAACAGTCGGGTCTCAGCAGACTTTTCCAGTACGGCCGCTGGTTTAGAAGACGAGTGCTTTAACCACTGACCTTTGAGGACTTGCAGGTTAAGTGGCCGTGAACATATTTGGTCATGTGCTCCCAAAATCAGAGCCTCAAAACAGTCGGGTCTCAGCAGACTTTTCCAGGAAAAGCCAAGTCCGTTGCTTGACTTGCAATAGAATGTGATGTTTACGTTTGAAGGACACTGACAAGTACACAGATTTGCTTGACACAGATAACAGGAACTCACTGAGATGTGATCAGGCCTCAGTGAGAATTGAACTCACAACCCCCGGTTTATTAGACCAGTCCTCTAACCACTGAGCTATGAGGCCTTGGATGCTAGGTTGCCGTTAGCATTTTTGTTAACGTGCTATCAAAATCAGAGCCTCAATCGGGTCCTCAGCGGGTTTGTCCGGGAAAAGCCAAGTCCATTGCAGTCGAAAAATAAAGACAATAATCATAATTACACATTTTATTTATAAGCGCCTTTCAAGACACCCAAGGACACTTTAAGACAAGTGATATTCTCCACATTTGAAGGATACTGACACGTAGACAGACAACAGGAACTCACTGAGATGTGATGAGGCCTCAGTGAGAATTGAACTCACAAACCTTGGTTTACTAGACCAGTGCTCTAACCACTGAGCTATGAGGTCTTGGATGCCCGTTGGCCATTAACATTTTTGTTAACATGCTATCAAAATCAGAGCCTCAAACCAGTCCGGTCCTCAGCGGTTCGTCCGGGAAAAGCCAAGTTCATTGCATTAGAAAAATAAAGACAAGTGATGTTCTCCACATTTGAAGGATACTGACAGGTACACAGACAACAGGAATTCACTTAGATGTGATGAGGCCTCAGTGAGAATTGAACTCACAACCCGTTGTTTACGAGACCAGTGCTCTAACCACTGAGCTATGAGGCCTTGCAGACTCTTAGGCCGTTAAGAGACCAGTGCTCTAAGCACTGAGCTATGAGGTCTTAGATGCTAGTTGGCCGTTAACATTTTTGTTAACATGCTATCAAAATCAGAGCCTCAAACCAATCCGGTCCTCAGTGGTTTGTCCGGGAAAAACCAAGTCCATTTCATTCGAAAAATAAAGACAAGTGACGCTCTCCACATTTGAAGGATACTGACAGGTGTACAGACAACAGGAATTCACTTAGATGTGATGAGGCCTCAGTGAGAATTGAATTCACGACCCGTTGTGTACAAGACCAGTGCTCTAACCACTGAGCTATGAGGCCTTGCAGACTCTTAGGCCGTTAACATTTTTGTTAACGTGCAACCAATCTCACAGCCTCAAAATAGGTCCGAAGCATATTTGTCCGGGAAAAGCCAAATCTGTTGCTTGTCTTGCAGTAGAACATGATGTTTACCTTTGAAGGATAATGACAAGTACACAGATTTGCTTGACAGAGATGATAGGAACTCACTTACATCTGACGAGGCCTCAGTGAGAATTGAACCCACTACCCCTACTACTGGATTACGAGACCAGTGCTGTAACCACTGAGCTATGAGGCCTTGGACACTAGCTGGACGTTACCATTTTTGTTAAGGTGCTACCAAAATCAGAGCCTCAATTGTTGGGGGCGTGCAAGCCGGGGGAGCGTGCTGTGGTGGACACGGCCGGATCCCTTCACCGTCCTCCGCTTCCCCCGAGGTCCTCCGCGTGTTCATTTGATTCGGGCTGAGTTGACGAGGCCTCAGTGAGAATTAAACTCACTACCCCTGGTTTACGAGACCAGTGCTCTTACCACTGAGCTATGAGGCCTTGGACACTAGATGGACGTTACCATTTTTGTTAATGTGCTACCAAAATCAGAGCCTCAATCGTCGGGGGCGTGCAAGCCGGGGGAGCGTGCTGTGGTGGACACGGCGGGATCCCTTCACCGTCCTCCACTTCCCCCCCAGGTCCTCCGCGTGTTCGTTTGATTCGGGCTGAGTTGAGGTGCGAAAATCAGAGGCTGGAAATGGAGAAGTTCTTGCAAGAAGTTTTACTGAACGTTCAGGGCACAAGTGTGAAACAAACAAGTGTTGTGGTCAAGACACAAATGCGCTAAAAAACCAAAGTCCCTATACCAGTCTTATATGTTCTAAGCGGGGCATATCTCCTTATGGGTATCATCTTTTCCTGTTATGGGCATCACCTTTTCTGTTTCGGGATGACGGTTTGAATGTCCTTGGTCTCTTTTTATGTCTTTTAATCATTTTTATGCTCCGATGTTCTTGATGTCGTGTTCTTATAAAACATGATGATAGATGCTCTGACATTTCTCAGAAGTTATCTTAATGTTCTGGATGGAACACAGCTGTAGACCGGAAACCGCAATCTAGCCACCAGTCGCGCTTACGTACTTGTGTGGTCTATGTTCACGAAAGGTGTTAACAATATTTTCTGTTGTCAAGGCAGTTCAAATTAAGGTCACCTCATAAAGTTCAACTGGCGGTCATATTGCTAGACTCAGAGTGAGGTTTATAGTCAAAGTCTGTCTGTCTGCAATACATAGTTTTAAGATAAACTTGTAACATATAAAAGTGATAACTTCATTAGGTATAAAGTTCCAAATAGATGAGGAATTACCCCAAAATTGTTTGAGCTAATTAATTTTAAATGTATTATTGAGGGTAGAAAAGGTGAGGAAGTCGAGGACCTTTTTACTACTTATGAATGAAAAATTTTAAATATAACAATTTTTGCCAAACCCAACGTGTGTGTGCAAAGTTTGGTGACGTTTGATTCATGTTTATTTCCTCACAAATGTGAATCTTTGACTAGTAACTACAGCTGCGAGCAGCTATAAAGGGCACCCACAACCCGACCAATTTTTGGAAAATGAAGTACATCCGCCCCAGGTCTGTCCAGCACTGACAGTCAATGGCGCCGACATTCCTCCCAATCAAAATTTGTGCTGGTACAGGCGTGCTGCCGAGAAGGCGCAACCACCAAGCACAGATACTTCTCCTTTGACGAATGTCGTGGCCAAAAAACGCTGAAAACAGTCCATATCAGGTCCACACGATGAAACAACAAACAAAATGTGACAAAACAAAAGACAAAAACAACAAAAAAGAACAAAAAAGCAAGGCTTTTGAAGAGCACTTGCAGAAGGCTGCCTACTCGGGCGCAATCTTGGGGGAAAAAAAAGTGTAAGTGCTGTAAGTGCAAAACTACAGTCTAGCCACCAAACGCGCCTACATACTTGTGTGGTCTATGTTAACGAAATGTGTTAACAGTATTTTCTGTTGCCAAGGCAGTTCAATGAAATGTGTTAACAGTATTTTTTGTTGCCAAGGCAGTTCAAATTAAAGTCACCTATAAGGTTCAACTGGCGGTCATATTGCAAGGCTCAGAGTGAAGTTTATAGTCAAAGTCTGTCTGTCTGCGATACATAGTTTTAAGCTAAACTTAGAACATATATAAGTGATTACTTCAGGTCTCAGTAGATTTTTCTGGGAAAAGCCAAGTCCGTTGCTTGACTTGCAGTAGAAAAATAAAGACAAGTGACATTCTCCACATTTGAACACCGATGACAAGTACACAGATTTGCTTGACACAGATGACAGGAACTCAGTTACATGTGATGAGGCCTCCGGGGAATTGAACTCACAAGCCCTGGTTTACTCGACCAGTGCTCTAACAACTGAACTATGAGGCCTTGCGGACTCACCGGCCGTTAACATTTTTGGTAATGTGCTACCAAAATCAGAGCCTCAAAATAGTCTTGTCTCAGCAGACTTTTCCAGGAAAAGCCAAGTCCATTGCTTGACTTGCAGTGGAAAAAATAAAGAGAAATGATGTTCCCCGCATTTGAAGGATACTGACATGTACACAGACAACAGGAACTCAGTTACATGCGATGAGACCTCAGTGAGAATTGCACTCACGACCCCTGGTTTCCAAGGGCAGTGCTCGAACCACTGAGCTATGAGACCGTTCAAGCTCTTAGGCCGTTAACATTTTTTGTTAACGTGGTACCAAAATCACAGCCTCAAAATTGTCAAGTCCTCAGCAGATTTGTCCGGGAAAAGCCAAGTCCGTTGCTTGACTTGTCGTAGAAAGGTAAAGAGATGCTCTCCACATTTGAACATCACTGACAACTCCACAGACTTGCTTGACACACATGTTAAGAATTCAGTTTCAGGTAATGAGGCCTCAATGAGATTCGAACTCACGACTGCTGGTTTACTAGACCAGTGCTCTAACCACTGAGCTATGAGGCCTTGGATGGTTTCTGGCTGTTACCATTTTTGTTAAAGATGACTGACAGACCCATCAGAAAATTTAACTGATCATATTGGAATATATTTGTTTGTTGTTCAGTGGGTTCAATTTGGTTCATTAAACTATATGCAGTCATTTAAAACTTTTTCAATGAACATTCGATCACTCAGGCCCTCTCCTTGGAGCAAAAATTTTTATTTGGCCCTCTGTCCGTTTGACTTTGACACCCCTGGATTAGACAATCTTCCACATCTGACAGAAAAAGGCTACACGGATACTGTCTACTGTATGTTGATCTTTCTGGGGCCATTAAATGGTCCAGTTATGAATATGCAGTCTTCCGATCGTGACTGTTAGTGTAGCAAGCGTGAAAGATAAAGGATTGGTGACATTTCCCACAGAAATGTTCAACACTCTGAATTTAGTCGAACAAAGTTCTGGTCAACTCAACTATTTTCTGATCCAGAAGACATTTGGTATTCAGCAAGTGTCTAGGCATAAACACATGATGTTTTTTTGAACAAACTGTCACGTGAGGAGTTGAATTTGGACCCAGAAGAAGACATGACACGGAAGTTGAAAAGTAAAAGTCTTTATCTCCGAAACCGGTCCGCGGGTCATTAAGTACCGGGCCGCACAGAAAGAATAAATAACTTACATTAATTAAGTTTTATTTTGAAAAATTACTGCTGCATCCGTCTATGTCACTCTTGACGCACATCAAAGCGTGCTTCTCAGTCACCTGATAGGTTACGCTAAAACGAAAAGCAGGAGCTTGCAAAATGAATAAAACACTGCTGGAGATCGCAAATGACGGCGGTTTTAAAAGTATGTTCGAGACAACTCTGTTGGTGTTCTGGATTAAAATCATGGCTGAATACCCTGAGATCGCCACAACAGCACTTAAAATATTGTTGCTAATTCCGATATCCTACCTTTGTGAAGTGGCGTTTTCTGCAGCGATGGCGACCAAAACAAAATTACAAAGTAGACTGGACATAATACACACACTTCAGGTGTCATTGTCTCCTATTACCCCGAGATGGGACCACCTGGTTGCAGAAAAACAAGCTCGGGGCTCCGACTGATTCAGCATTGTGGTGAGTCGTATTTTTCATTCACTTTGAATTTGCGGTGTATCTTATTTTGAAGGCAGACCAGAGAGTGTTGCGGCCAGAGACAACATTACTTGTGTCATAATAATAATAATACATTTTATTTGTAAGCGCCTTTCACAACACTCAAAGACACTTTACAGGCAAGAGCAAACAATTAAACCACAGATAAAATTATAAATAAAAAGAGATAAATTTAAGTGGAATAAGCAAGTCTGAATAGGTGGGTTTTGAGCTGGGTTTTGAATGTGGGAAGAGAATCAATGTTACGAATATTGGGTGGAAATGAGTTCCAGAGTTTGGGGTCAGAGCGGCTGAAGGCTCTGCACCCCATTGTGCTGAGATGGGCAGAGGGTATCTTCGTGTTCATTATTATGTCAAGAAAATACCACCGTTTTCATGCAGGTCATATCATATTATTTTGTTGTATTTATCTGCCACACCTTTAAGGTCGGCTGTGAAAATATTGTCTCACATTAAACTGGTCCGTGGGGCAAAAAAGGTTGGGGACCGCTGCATAAGTGACTCGCTGTGTTCGAATTGCACTTCACATGAAAATAGAGGCTCTATTTTCACCTGCTAACTGGAGTAGGACATTTTGTTACCTTATCAACTATTTCAAGACATCAGTAGAATTTATTTTGCCTCTCCCAATCCACTGCAGTGTTCAAAGAAGAGGAATGTATCATTCCGGGATACAGTACACATACTGTATCCCCAGGCAGATTATATTTTTTGGCAAGATATAAACTCTTAAAGTCTGTATTAGTGCAGCTCAACCTTGAAATGTAAGCTATTTTGGAACGAAAACTGCTTAAGGAAGTGAAAACATGTCAGTGTCGAGAATGGTCAAGGATGAGGATTTTTATAATAATCCTTAATCCTCTGGGTTTTTTTTCCCTCACAATTTTTGATGCCAATAACTGTTCTATTCACTGGTTCATTCCTTTGTATGCTCTCCCTGCATGAACATTTCATTTTAATGTCACATTAAGTGCGTGTCAAATTAAACAAAAAAAGAAAAAAAACAGAGCACAAATCTAGTTGAAGTCAAAGTGATAATAATTTAAAAGTAAATTACATTTTGATCTTGTTTTTTGCCCTCCCACCATCATATTTCAGCCATTGGGATAAATTTTAAAGTTGCTGGGGCTGCATTTTCGGAGTACTTGCCCAATGGTTTG